GCTAGACACGTGTTCTATAACTGAGTTACATATCCATCCCAGGTTTTTTTTAATATATAAAATCATGTCTACAAAAAGGGATAATATGACTTTCTCATTTCCAATTCAAATGCCTTTTTCTTTCATTATTGCTCTGGATAAAACTTTCAGTACTGTGTTGAGTAAAAGTGATGAAATTGGGTATCCTTGAATTGTTCTAGATCTAAAAGTTAACAATTGTGACTATTTCCTGTTAAATATATTAGTTGTGGGTTTGGTTTGCCATATAAGGAGGACTTAATTGTATTGTTTATTTCTTTTATTACCTAATTTGTTGAGTATTTTTATCATGAAGGGACATGATTTTTATCAAATGTTTTTTTTTCTGTGTTTTACTGAGATAATCATTTGAGTTGTCCTTTATTATGTCAAAATATTTAATTATTCATTAAAAATATTTAATATATCACAGTTATTGATTTGTGTATGTTGCATCATCTTTATATCCCTAGGATAAGTCCCACTTGGTCATGGTGTATAATCTTTTTGTTGTGCTGTTAGATTCAATTTGGTAGTACTTTGTTAAGAATTTTTACATTTATTTTCCACAGAATATACTGGTATGTTATTTCCTATTTTTTGTTGTATCTTTCTCTGGTTTTCATATCAAAGAAATGCTGGTCTCATAGAATAAGGAAGGATTTCCTACCTTTCCAATTTTTGGAATGGTGTGAGAAGAAGAGTTGGTGTTACTTCTTTAAAAGTTTAGTAGAGCTGGGTGCAGTGGTGCACACCTGTAATCCCAAGCAGTTCAGGAGGCCGAGGCAGGAGGATAGTGAGTTCAAAACCAGCCTCAGCAACAGTGAGGCACTAAGCAATTCAGTGTGACCCTATCTCTAAATTAAATACAAAATAGGGCTGAGGATGTAGCTCTGTGGTCAAGTGCCCCTGAGTACTATCCCCAGTACCAAAAAAAAAGTTTAGTAGAAGGCTGGGATTGTGGCTCAATGGTAGAACACTTGCCTGGCATTATAAGGCACTGGGTTCAATTCTCAGCACTACATGTGAATTAATTAATTAATAATAAGGGTTCTTTGACAACTAAAAAACAAAAAGATTAGTAGAATTTAGCAAATGAAGCCATCCAGTTCTGGGCTTTTCTTTGTTGGAAGTTTCTTTTTTAATTACCAATTCAATTTCATTGCTCAGCATTGGTCATTTAGTTTTCTATTTCTTTATAGTTTAATGACAAGTTGTATGTGTACAGGAACTTATTCATTTCTTGTTGTCCCAAATGATCTTTTGTATTACTGTGGCATCAGATGTAATGAATCCTTCCGAATCTCTAACTTTATTTGTGTCTTTATCTAGCCAGTCAGTCTTAAAACATTTGCTGATTTTCTTTATCTTTTCCAAAAAAAAAAACAACTTTGTTTCTCTGGTCTTTGGTAATTTTTTTAGTCTTAGTTCTTCAAGTTACATTGTTAGGTTAATGACTTGAAATATTTCTACTTCGTGATATGTTTATTACTATAAACTTCCCTCTTAATCCTGATTTTGCTATATCAAATAGGTTTATTTTTATTTATTTATATCATTTTGTGCTTCCATTTTCATTGAAGAAATGTTTTTCTTTTTCATTTATTCATTGATCATTCTGCAGCATTTTTAATTTCCATGTACTTGTGCTGTTTCCACAATTCCTCTTGTTCGTTTCTAATTTCATTCCATTGTGCTCATATTATTTTGATTTTTTTTTTGAGACTTATTTTATGACCTAACAAACAGTTTATCCTGGAGAATATTCCATGTGGTGATGAAAAGAATGTATATTCTACACCTATTGGATGAAATGTTCTGTAAATATCAATGTCCATAATATAGTTTAACTCTGATGTTTCTTTATTGATTTTCTTCTGTATGAACTGTTGATTTAAACTGGGATGTCAGATTCTCTAACTAATATTGTATTAGAATCTCTCTTCCTTTAGATCTGTTAATATTTATGTTACATATTTTAGTGGTTTGGTGTTGGGTGGATATATATTTACAATTGTTATATGTACTTTTGCTAAATTGTTCTGTTGTGATATAATGACCAACCATCTGTTTTATTTTGCATGAGTATAGCTACTTCTACTCATTTCTGGCTTCAATTTGTGAGAAATAATGTTTTTCCATCCCTTCACTTTTTTTTATTGGTTCTAGTTTTTTAAATACATGACAGCGGAATGCATCACAATTCTTATTACACATGTAGAACAATTTTTCATATCTCTGTTTGTATATAAAGTATGTTTACACCTTCACTTTTGGTCTGTGTGACTACAGGGGAGTTATGTTAGGTATTGGTTTTTCATTTTTATTTGGTTTTGTTTTGTTATTTTTAATGCACTCAGCTAGTTTGTAGCTTTTTGTTTGTTTTTCCTGCCAAGGCCAGCCTCTACTGGGTTCAAGCGATCCTTGTGCCAGCATACCTGGCTTCTGTCTTTTAATTGAGGAATTCAATCCATTTACATCATTCAAGGGTATTATTGATAGATTAAAAACCTGCTCCTGTTTCTTGTTGTTTTGTACACTTTTGTTCCTCTCCTCTGCTCTTACCCTGAATCTTTGTGATCTGGTGATTCCTATCGTGATAAAGATTTATTCATTCCTCTTCCTTCTTTGTGTGGCTACTCTATCACAGAGCTTTATACTTTCACATGTTTTCATGGTGGTAATTATCATTTTGCTTCTAGGTGTATGACTCCTTTATCCATTTTTACTTGTCTGCAAAAGACTTTATTTCTTCTCAATTTCTAAAGGATAACTTTAGTGGGCATAATATTCTTGGCAGGCAGTATTTTTCTTTTCAGCACTCTGAATGTTAATAAGTTCCCATTCTCTCCTGTCCTGCAAGGTTTCTGCTGAATAATCTTTTTTCTAATCGAAATTCACTTGTTAGAAACTTGACATTTTTCTTGTACTGCACCTTTTTGGTGGGTAAGGACCAGGCTTTTTTTTTTTTTTTAAGACAGGGTCTCATCTCAGCCTGCCTCAACCTCCTGAGTTGCTGGGATTACAGGCATATACTACCATGCCTGGCTTCTTGCTGCTTTTAGAAGTGTCCTTTACTTTTATTACCTTGATTATAATTTGCCTCTTTGAGTCTAACTGAAGTTCTTTGATCTTCATGGAAATTTCTAGGAAATTTCCCTAGACTTGGGAAATTTTCAACTACAATTTCATTAAATAGGCTTCCTGTGCCTTTTTCTGTGTCCTTCCTTATTCTCATAATGGGATTATTTGTTCATTTAATGGTGTCCCATAGATTCAACAGTCTTCCTTCATTCTTATTGTTTTTTATTTCTCTAACTGGATCAATTCAAAAGACCTGTCTTAAAAGTTCAGAATTCTTTCATTCTGCTTGATCTAATCATATGGCTATCAATTTTTTTTTTTCTGGTAATTGTCTCTCTGTTGAATTTCTTCTTCCTATAATGAATTGTTTTCCAGATTTCATTTAGGTGTTTCTCTATATTCTCTTGTATTTCTCTGAGCTTCCTTAAGACGACTGTTTAGAATTGTTTTTTTAGGCATTTGGTAAATTTCCTTTTCTTTATGGTTATCTCTAGGGATGTATCATGTTTCCTTGCTTTTTCATGGTGTTTTTTGGTTTGGTTTGGTTTTGTTTTTAGTTATAGATGGATACAGTACCTTTGTTTCATTTATTCATTTTTATGTAGTACTGAGGATCAAACCCAGTGCCTCACACGTGCTAGGCAAGTGTTCTACCACTGAACTACAACCCCAGCCCTTTTTCATGTTTCTTATGCATCCAGTGTAACAGTTACCTTTTTTTTTTTTTTTTTAATATATTTTAGTTGTTGATGGACCTTTATTTGTATGTGGTGCTGAGAATTGAACCCAGTGCCTCACGCATGCTAGGCAAGTACTGTACCACAGAGCCACAACCCCAGCCCCTTAAAGCTACCTTTTTGAATTTAACAAAGTTGTTTTATTTGAGGGTGGATCCTAAGGAGACACATCTAAGCTTTAATTCTGGATGAATTCAGCAGTGTGATCTTGGCAGTTTCTTTAGCTTTATTCTTCAACAGGCACAGATCAAGAGTGGGGGCATATTTTTGTGGGCATCCAGAAATTCATCAATTATGTTTCATGTCTACCTACACCAGCACTGGTTCCAATGGCAGTTTTAGAATAAGGGTATCTGCTCTGATAAATTATGACAGTCTGTGCCCCTATCTGTCTCTACAATTTGAAGAGCAGCAGTTTGCCCCATGTCCTTACTTTAGCACAGATCTAAGAATTATTGGTTTTTTAGTTTGCTCAGATTTTTACTTATTGTTTCAACAGATTGGTAACTTCCTGATCCCTTATATGTGGAACCAGAAACTGAAAGTTCCATCCTTTTATTTTTACTCTGCTTATATCATTATATTTGAAGTAATTTTCTTGTGGATAGCTTATAGCTGAGTAATATTTTTTAATTTGCTCTGCCATTTGGATCACTTATGCTTAATGTAATAAGTTATTGAAAAATAATGGCATAATCTACCTTTTTAGTTTTTGCTGTTTTTTCTTTTTATTTTATTTTCTTCCCCATCTTACAACTTACCATTTTGAACTATCGTTAGTGTTTTAGTATTTCTTTGCTAAGATTTTATAGTGATTGTTCCAGGTTTGACAGAGTACTGGCATCATCAGTTTACCAATTTGATATGAAAATCTTACCTTGGTAATATTCCTTTAACCATACATATATAAAATATAATTGTCATATGCTTCCTGTACACACATCAGTTATAGTTTGTACATCAGTTATAGTAACTGTACATCACTTATAGTTTTTACTTCAACCAAACATATAATTACTTCAATTAAACATAACTGGGAAAATTCAAGAGTTAGAAAGCCTATTGTATTTACATACATTGTTGCTTATAGCCTTCTTTCCTCATGTTTCAAGATTTCTTTTTGTAACATTTCCTTTTATTGTTTCTCCTCATTACTTCCAGATAGGAGTGGCAGGCAAGGCACCCATGTGGTCTCCACTACCACCACAGTAGAAGGGGAGGATCATAATGGTTATGAAGGTGAAAGTCACAGCTCCCTATTTGGCATTTACTGCATTTGCTAGCATCAGCAGAGGTGATGTCATGGTATTTTCTGTGCTATTTGGTTTTAGTAGATGAGTTGTTGCCTAAAAATTTTCTGTCTTGCTAAGCTGCTCTTTTCCTGGTCCTTTTGCTAAAGATAACAGGATTTTGTTGACACTGTTTTTATTTTGTTGACACTGTTTTTATATACATCTATGGGCATTTCTGAAGTTTCTGGCTTCTGTAGATCAAATTGTAAGATATACAATGCCAAAGGGAAACCCAGAGAACTCACCACCATTTCATTCCTTAAGTCCCAAGATCATTTGCTGGCCTGCCTTCTCTCCATCTATTTTCCAGGGGTTTTAGTTATACTTAAGCAGGAGGAATAGGGAAAAGTACATCTACTATATAGCATGTTTCCAGAAATGGAAGTTCAGCCTCAGTGATTTTGATTCTGAAGAAAAATTGATGGGGAAAATTTTTGCCTGTAAGTTTTATGCTTCACAGTTTGACCTTCCCAGTCCCTGTTATCACAGTTGAGGCTAAGCTTCTCAAACAAAAAACTGGCAGACTGTGTGTGCACATGTGTGTATATGTATTGGAGATGGGGACAGCTTCAAACTTGTGTGTCTTGCATTACTAAAACACTATTTATTCCACAATTTTATGATGATTCAATTGAATCAATATTCAAAAATATCTCATTCCACTATCTTTCCTGCCCCATTCACCCTCCCCCTATACTCCTTCCCCTTTACCCAATCAGAGTTCCTTCATTTTTCCCATGCATCTCCCCTCCCCATCATGAATCAGCATGCATATATGGTGTGATGCTACATTGAAATGTAAAGTTGTGCTGCAATTGTGTACAATGTATCAAAATGCATTCTGCTGTCATATATACCTAATTAAAAAAAAATTTTTTTAAATTCAAAATATATTTTAAAAAAATCTTTAAAACCTTATCTTCATAACATAGCGGCTTTGATTTCTATAACATTCTTCCATATAAAAAAATACAAAATAAATATGAATCCCCTATGTAGTAAAACTTAATTTATGCGGTTCTACCAAAAAATTTATGTAGTCACTCATCATTTGTGTGAAAAAGTGATCACTGTAATATACATGAATGATGTATCATGCAGCCAAAAATGTACTCAGGTTGTATAGTACTCACAATTCATTCTGAAATCCACTGATTGGATGGTGGGGTGTGGGTTAGCACTGTGTTCAACTCATTTTATTATGAACAGTAATTTAAAATGTGAGTAATTTATATTTTAACATAGCTATTCCTATGTAATTATTTGACAGGTAATATAGATTAATATAAGCATAGTATCATTGTTCAGCTATTTACCTAGGATGAAAAACAAAGATTTTCATTTCCATATTTCTATCCATTTATTTTTATGATTGACCCCTAATTAAATAAGAATAGTATAGTAAATTCTTAGGAGTAATCATTTTACCAATTAAAATGCAAAAGTGGAATGTCTACATGAAAAACACCTATGATAAACCATGTACTATTTTGATGTTAGGCATGTATCAGGCATAAAAATATACTGTTACCCTATTTACATATTTTTTTAAGATCAAACAAAATCTCTTTAAGGCACATTACTAATATGTAAATTGCTGCCATTTCTATTGGTTTTTAGCATAATGATTGAAGGATTGATGCTATAATTTACATTGTAAATCAGAACCACACGATAAAAATCTATCAATCCTCTCTATATCTGAATATAAAATTGTTAAAATCCAACAATGCATCCTGAAAAAAAATGCCACTATCGCCAAGCTATAAACATTACAGGATCACTTTGAACTTCATTGTTTCTGTGCATATTTTTAATTACTAACTCTACATTCGAAGTCTTGTGCAATATCCCTGTTGTGTAGTTTCTATTGACATTTGTATAATTTTAGACCATTATCAGAATAGATAATATGAATAATTACAAATAACATATACTGAGCACTCATATAAACTAAGTTTAGGGAACTTTATTCATTTATTTACTGACATAGAGCTTCACTGAGGTAGTAATTCATGGATCCTCACTTCACTCTACCATACTGTTTGGCACTTAATTCATGTTATCTTACATAAATAAATAGTTAAGAATCTTCTGATACAAAGATGAATTCAGTTAGAATACTTCTAGTTTTAAGTTAATATATAAAATGAAAAATTCATACTAAGTGCAATATTCTCTTCCTTCTCAAGTTTTAATAATTTTAGAAAATATATTCTGTTTGAGTTTCACTGTCAAATATTCAGTATAGCTAGCTGTGGTTTAATCTATAGAAAACAAATATTCTCTCTATTGTAGTGGTTCCAAAAAAACATTTTTAAATTTGTTGACATTCATTGTTACTATCTTGTTGGCTTTTAAAACATTATAAAGAAAATGAACTGGGAATTTAGTAAATTGTTATATATTATAGCTGTTCTCTTTTTAATACCATATTAAATTTTTTTAAATTAGAATAATGATTCTCAGACTTTACATGCTAAATACATATTTCTGGGACCCACACTGAAGTTTCAACTCAGTAGGTCTGGTGTGAGAGATTAGAATTTGCCTTTATAACAACTTCTGAAGGGTAGTTAGGACATCCAGTGACCACATCTTTAGAACTCTTATATAAGGATTTTTTAACTAAAAATATACCCAATGTTTGAAGTGTAAGTATTCCATTTTTTCCTTTTCCCTTTTACAAAGTTTTATAGATATGTAGAACAATTGATGTGAATGACCTATAATAACTAATTCAGCTTCTCCATTTGCCCATAAATTAACTTTTTATGTTAAGTATAATGACATTTAAATATATAAGGTGGTAAATAAACATATTAATCACTGTCATTATTACTTTCATTATTATTTCTTTTTTTGGGGGGGGGGGGCACTGGGGATTAAACTCAGGCATTCTCAACCACTGAGCCACATCCCCAGCCTTATTTTGTATTTTTAGAGATAGGGTCTCACTGAGTTGCTTAGCACCTCGCCATTGCTGAGGCTGCTTTGAACTCACAATCTTCCTGCCTCAGCCTTCCGAGTGGTTGGGATTACAGGCATGTGCCACCATGCCCAACTCATTATTATTTCTTTATATCATTTTTGGAAAGAAAGCATTATAGAATAGTTATTATATATTTTAGTGTTTGAGTTTCACTATGTAGAAATGTAGAATGCACTATGTAGAAATGTATAAATGAACAATTAGCAATGCCCCCCATACATTTGAAATATTATTTAAACTTTTCATGTGGTAAATATGAAAATTTCAAGTAATTTGGTGAGGCAATCCAATACACTCGTAAATTTAAGCTCAATTTACTCATCCTATAACTATTTCAAGTAAAGACAATTTAAAAGTTTTGTGGTTGATGGCTGAATAATTTTACTATTTTCTTTATGATTTCATTGGGATAGACCCAATATTTCATGTTTTCTTAAAGTTCAGTCAACAACCATCTGATTATACTATCTACCAAAATGTAATCTCTGTAAAAGCTCTATTAGAAGAAATTATACTATTGAACTTATGATATAGTGACTTCCCCTATTTTGACATACAAAATCAATGGAGCAAATGTGCTGTAGTAAAAACAGAGAAATTTATTTTGTCATATATTTATTAAGAGTGGCCCCCACACTTTCATGAGTTTTACCCCTCTACGTGCTTCTCATTGTAGAAATCCAAAAAAGATTCCCTCATGTTTCCCCTTCACATGGGTCAGTTACCATTTTGAAATATGCCCAGAGCATAACAAAAGCCTACTCTCCAAGGAAAAAGATTTTACAGGGGTATAAATTTACCTGGCTCCAGCCTTCTAAACAGCAGTCTCAGGTACGTAGGTGTGGAGGTTACAGAAATACTAAGAAACACTTATGAAACTCACTAATCAGGAAACCTTCTAAAAGACTGCTTTAATCATAAGATTATAGAATACTTTCCATCCCTACCACTTTATTGCTACACCACCATATCAGCAATGCTTAATGTGATAGCAATGGATTATAGCTGAAAGAGCTGCCAGGCCGCCTCTATGAGGAGCTCATAATGAAGCCCTAGACAAAAGGAGGGACAAAAACAAGGACACTAAAAGAATTTGAAGGCTCTGGCACATACACCTATATCAAACATTAAACACAGCCTAAGTTGTAGCAAAATTAACATAAAACTAAACACTAAAGGCCTGTTTACCTAATTTCCTTTAATACCTGATCCAATACATCATAACAACTTCTCAACTAAGTTACAAATCAAGAAAATAGTCTGAATAGACAAAGCAAACATAAGAACCAGACTCAGATATTTTGCAAAGTTTGGAATTATGATGTAGAGAATTATGAATAATTATTAATAAAAACTGTGAATGAGATAATAATAGAAAAGTGATCATTTAAGAACAGATAAACAATCAAAAGGGAATGCTAGAAATCAAAAGCACTGTACAGAAATAAATAATGTTTTTTGATGGGCTTATCAGTAGACTGGACACTGTCAAGGACATTCCCCCAAAGGAAAAGCAAAGACAAAAAAAAAAAAAAAAAAAAGAATAGGAAGGGGAAATAAAACAGAACATCCAAAAACTGGAATATTTTAAAAGTGTGAGAAATGTGTATAATTGGAGTATCAGAAAGAAAAAAAGAATAAAGAAGTGTTTGAAGTAATTAATAGTCAAGAGTTTTCCAAAATTAATGACACATACAAAACCATGGATCCAAAAAAACTCAGGAAACACCAAGCAGGATAAATACCAAAACTGTCTTCACCTAAGAATATCATATTCAAACTACAAAGAAGCAAATGCAAAGAAAAAAATTAGATATAAGCCAAAAGAAAATATCTTACCTATAGCAGAACAAAATCATGCAAACAAAAACGAATAAAGTGAAATATTTAAAGCATTTAAGTACTAAAAGAACAAACTACCAATCTGGAGTTATACATCCAGCAAAAATTTTTTT